ATTAAATGTGTAAACCCGGTTTCTTCCGGTTAAGCTGTGAATTGGTTAAGGCTTATGTGTTAAACCAAAGCTATATTATCGTTGTATTGTTCTTCATTGTTCGATAACATAAACATTTGATATTTCCAAATCCTCTCACAAGAGAGAGATCTCGATCTCTTCTTCTTCAATAGAGAGATTTAGTTTCTGTTCTAATGTAATATTTTAATAGTGACACAAAATCTTTTTTGGTTTTCTCCTCTTGTAAAAATGTTTTAACACTCGGGACTTGGTGTAGCTCAAAGCCTCCTCAAAGTACTATAAATACAAAGGTTCGTTGATCCAAAAGGATAGGTGTCAAGCCCATATCCTTATAAATTAAAAATTTGCGCAAAAATCTTTATTTGATATGGATTGTTGATCGGTGTGAGAGGACAAAGAAAATGTCTATCACCATTGCATTTGGAGACGGAATCCTTGATATGGGTGATGAAATAAGTTTTGAAAAAGGGTAGATTATCAAGTTTTCGAGACATACTATTCGGATGTGGTTAATTTGATTTAATTTCTAGAATTGTGGTTCGCTTTTCTATTCCCTTGGATATTTCCAACGACACTTTGATCGCAACAAATGTCCTTCATATCGCACGGAAAAACGTCATTGTAAAATCTAAACTATTTTCCTTTTATTTTTCTTTCTACTTCTTACCATTTGTTCTTCGAAAATGTTAGTTTTGATTTTTTAAAGAAATGCTGAAAACGAAGAACAATGAAATAAATATCTTTCTCATTAGTAACTTAACCCAACCCATGATGAAGAAAACAAAATATCTTTACCTATACTACTCTTCATGCTAAAGTGAAGTTTCTTAAGAACGTAAGACATTTGATGATGCAGTCCGGAAATCACCTTAGAGACTTCGACGAATAGAAACACAATTTAATATTTACTCCCTCTATGTTTTTTTATTGGATGTTTTAAGAGTTTTTGGTTAATTTATCTTATTAATTTTTTATACAAAATATATTTTATGACTATTTGTATTACGTAATTTTTTTATTGGTTAAAATTCTTTTAATTAAGTAATAAATTGTA